CCCTCTCGACGTCGTATTCTTTTTTTTTTTTTTCCGGCGCCTCTTTCTCTTTTCAATATCGCCGATAAAAGCAAAGACCTTGCGGTACTTAACGAGGTAATTCCGTAGTGAGTACGCGAGATAGGGGAAAGGGTAGAATGCGGATGAGAATATTTGTGCTAACTTTTGATAAGAGAAAATAATAAAATTGAAAAAAAAAAAGAAGTATCGAACTAAAATAAGAATCGTCGATATAAGTTTTTTTTACATTCGATTAAACGTATTTTATCTTCTATTTGATAAAAATAAAAGAAAAGATTATTTCTCAATGATAATAAATGTAATTAAGGGTATTGATGTTTATGGTTGAGTGAAAAAAATGTTCAATTATAAATGATAAATCGAATAGGAAAGAGTAAAAGGCGAACGAGATTATCAAGATTTTAATCATGGTTATTCTTTTCGATCGTAATTTTTGTAAGAAAATCAAATCGAAGAAAAATCTTTCGTCAATCGTTTAAAAAAAAAAAAAAAAAAGGAAAATCTTCGATCGTACGATCAACGATGAAGCTTACGTCGAGAGATAACGTGCGCGCTGGCAAGCACGAACGCGACCACACACACACACGTTTGCAAAGAAGTGGACAGCCTGGCCCTGACACTCAGAAGCACCATCAGTTATACAGAAGCCGCCAACCGAACCAACAGCAGCGGCACCGACAATCCACCCTCTCTCTCACCCCCGTTCTCACCCTTCGTTTTCACCCCCATCCCCGTAACACATGGCGGTGGAAACCGAAGAGAGGAAAGTGGTGAGAGGGAAAGAGGGAGAGAGAGAGGGTGAGAGAGGGAGGAAGGTTGGGAGTCGTGGAGGGACAGTTTTTTAAATCTAGTCATCAAGGATCCATCCTGCCCTGGCTGAATGCCCGCACGCCACACATCGAAAGCGATCTAACGCGACCGTTCTCTCGCTGTATTTGTCGCTCGGCCATTATCGTCCTCGAAATTCAATTACCACATCCGCTCGGTAATACTATTTTTGCGAGGATCCGTACACACCCGGTCGGCTTCTTGCACACGCCGGATGCTCGATCTTAGCAAGCTTTCTCCCCTCCCCCACACATTCATTTTCTCCTTTCCCCACTTCTTCCATGAATTTCTCATACAAAGCTTGTACCAACTCGTTTTCAACCCTTCTTATTTTGGTCTTCTGTTACGACTACTTTCCTTACCGGTTGAACAAGAGACTAGGTCGCGACGTATTTATGCTAATCTCGCTTAATCCTATTAATTCGTATATTAGCCTCTTTTATTTTTATTTTTTTCCCTGTATATTTATCTTCTTTTTTTTTTTATATCTTAGTACGGTTATTTATGTTATATTTATTTTCATACAAATGGATTGAAATATATTTAAATGAATTAATATTAAATTATTCGTATATTATTTTTCTCAGTTTTATGATCGTCATTATATTTACGGTAAAATTGTTATCGGTAAAAGGAAATAAATGATGATCTCCATCTCTATATTTCTTTCTTTTGATAATTACCCACGTAATTTGACGATATTGAATATAAAACATCGAAGATTAAAATCCGTATGAATACCGTTTGCTTTTTTAACGTAATCGCATGTTCCCTTTCAATCGACTACTGGTTTTCGTATTCCATCGCAAAGAATATAGCGACGGCACGTATCGCAATCCAGAATCCCGTTGCTTTTAGCTGTGGCCTTTTTACGAGCAGCAGAGATATTTTTTAGGTTAATCGAGAGCCAATCAACTGCACGACGAAGTCCAAGCGGGTAGGTTTTGTTCGTCCCTCGATTGGTATAACGTCGATTGAAATCATTCTACCGCATACTTTCATTCCTTCCATTTTTCTTTCGTGCTTTTTATTTTCCATAGTTATTGGCATTACGAGTATTAAACTAACCTCCCATCTTTCACGTGAAATAAGATTTAATCAACGAGTTGTGTGAAAATATTTATAATCTTCGTTCCGTATAGAAATGCGGTTTGTAAGAATGCGTGGTTCGATGATTTGGAAAATGAAAAAGAAAAAAATATAATACTGAAACAGAAATACACACACATAGAGGAAAGATATAATAATTTTTCTAGTCTGTTGTATTTATTAATAATAATTAAAAACGATCGAGATATTAATTCGTTCTGTAACTTTCACGATTACGCAACGTAAATTCAGTACGTGTAAAAATCGGAGTAAGGGCCACCCCCTGAAGCGGAACGTTTATCGCACGTCGAAAGATAAGTGTAATATCGCATGGACGGATCGTCGAGTCAGGTGTATCGTAGTTACTATAAATCCTCCTGCTAACGACGATTTCATTCGGAATAAATTAAAGTGAAATGAGGTAACGAGCGTCGCTTCCGTCGATATTCTATCCGAGAATAGTAATAACGAACCGAGAAAACGAAACAGCCCCTGCGACAAATGTTTAAATCGATTAAATTTCATTTGACTTATCCGTTAATAAAATCAATTGTACGCAAGACGTGATAGACGACAAAATCAATTTTAAGAGCGCATTAAAACTATCTAATTGCCTATTACAAATAACAAATGTTCCAGGTATGTGTACTACGATCAATATGATTATACGTAAGACACAGTTGTTTAGAAAAAAAAAAAAAAGGAATAGATATTTCTATAAACGTAAGAAAAAAATCAATCACCAATTGTAATGTAATTGCTTAAATTAATTGAGAAAAATATATCCAAAAAAAAAGGTTCAACTATTAATATACTGTGATAGACCGATCGTTTAGCACGGCTCATTGTTTCCTTTTCTCCGACTAAGTATTCATTTTTCCCTGTAATCTTTTTTTTTTCCTTTATTTGATACGCTAACGTATCTAAAGGGAGGAAGGGTCCCAAAGAGGAAAAAAAAAAGAAACGAGAGGGTGAGTTTGCTAAAGCGTAGCGACCCACCACTGGACAAAAACAAGAGAGGATACGTTGATGACTTTCGGAATCATTTTTCAAAATGTCTGCCTCTACCGTTGCCTCGAGGGGGGTAACTCGATGGTGAGGCAGTATGGTGGGAGGGGGAGGTGGTTGTGTGGAGGAAAAGGGGTGGTCAACCCCTATGGCGTAGGGTGGCAAGATGGCGGCGCACGGTAAATCGATGGAGGCTAGTCACTGCAGGCGCCCTCGCTTTCACAACCCCCAAACGCACCCCCCTTCCCACCGACGTCCAACGCGCGAGCCTCATTTTCGAGCTTCACGCAAGCGCCCGCACCCTGTTCGCTTCTGTAGATTCTTCGCTTCGGTCATCTAAGCATGATTTTGGCATCGCCCGGAACGATGACCTGCGCCGTCGCAAAAAAAACTATCGACTTTTTGTTCTTTCTCTCTTCTTCCTTTTTTTTTTTACCCCCCTTTTTTTCTTTCTTTCTTTTCTTTTCTTTTCTTTTTTCTTTTTTTTTTTTTTAGAAAACAATAAACATCGGGTCGTTTCTTTCTTTCTTTCTTTTTTTTTTTTTACTTTCTATTTTTGAGTTAATTTAATGTTTCTTTTATTTTTATTTTTTTATCAGCGATCTTAAGAATACATTCAACGTTAAAGGGTTAGTAAGTCTTTTATACTCCCGAAAGCAGGTTTCTGACCCTTGACATTACAGAATAACCTGTTTGATTTTGTTTGGAATTTTAACTCGAAACAAGTTTTTACGGAAAAGGGTATAAACAGTAGAGACATGTTTTTTTGTTTGGTATATGTTTATAATTTAAATATGACAATTGAATTTAAGATTAAATCGATGAATAATTTTAGTTTCATTTTTTCATTACCAGGTTGTTGTGACACATTTGGTATTATTGATAATATCTATTTTATTGAATTGATTTCTTGAAAATTATTTCTTAAAATAAAGGAAAGATCAACCCGATGACGAAGATTTAGAGTTTATTCTGATAGTTTTGTGTTGTGTAATTCTCGATTATTTCGGCAACGTTGCTTTCAAAACAAAAAGCAGTCTAATCAATCAAATAGCCAATCATTGATTTTGGGAAAACAAAATGTGTCTATTATCGTATGTCGTTTAATATTATTTCAAAGAAAAACAACAAATATGATTTAAAAAATTGTTCGACTTGAATGTTAATTAAAAATTTCGATGTAATATTTGTTCCCTGAGTTTAGTTAAGATCTTTCCATTTATTAGAATTTTTCGAATCGTAATATTTCCTTAAATTAAATAGTTTACCAGTGCAAAAGATTAGCACGCAGAGATAAAGTTCTACAAAAATTCTATAAGCTAATGATCACATGACAGTATTAAGTATCAATCTTGACATTAATTAATTGTTCATCGATTGCTTCATTTTTATCTCTTTTCTTTCTTTTAGTCTTCTTACTTCTTTATGGCGCGTATTACTTTATCATTTATATCTTATTAATGTATATCTGATACAAGATTATCTGATACAAGAAGTACATACCTTCTAGAACATTATCAAGTATAGAATGTAAGATTGCAAGCTGTAAAAAATCGATTGATATTTTATAATAATTTCTTATAACAATTAATATTGATAATAAAAACAATTACCGTTGGAGTCATAATAAATACTTTAAAAATATCATCAATTGTTGCGAGGCACGATTAACTAAATATATTAATTAGATTAATTATTGGATTATAATTAAAATGCATATACATGTATTTTTAAAAAGGGTCGTATCACTATTAAAATATTTCTAACATTTGTTAGGTTCACTAATGATCTACATCTTAGCGATTTCAAGGTTAATCAAATCGAAAAAGAGTATTCTTTGTATAAAGTAAACAATGATTTTTTATCGTCAAATTATTGATTCTTAAGAAATAATTTATTTGTTGATATCCCAGTGATAAGAACTACTGCTAATCGAAGATCTCATTATTGATATGTATGAAAACAAATACTTTATCTAATCAATACGAGCGATGTATTATGGGTTAGATCATCAATTTCTTTATAAATGAGGAATAGCACAGAATTATAATCAAAATACGGCAATCATGCAGTCGTACATCCTGACTGGCTTTGCGTTCTTTTGCGTCGTTACTGGTAAAGAATTCATTTCACAATTACATGTTATCATACAAGAGACTTTTCTAAGAAAATTATTGCAATTGTCTTAGATTGTTTCGAATTTTCGTAAATAGAAAAACATATAGCGTATATTATATTCAATATTATTATATTGATACATCTATATACAGGTGTAACAATTAAGTCGATATTTTTGTTTTCACTAATTTAGTATCTATTTATAAATGAATCATACATTTGTTAGTTTTCGAAATAGATTTTATTATATTTGATAATTTTAGTCATCGAAATGACGGTCATAAAATAGCAGACAATTATTTACATTCAAATTATAGTAATAAATAATTGAATATGAAGACGTCAAATTAATTGTTGCACTTAATATAAATGTTTAATATCAATATATAAATTATTTGTTTATATTGTAATAAAATATAAACTTGAAATTTGATTGCGTAGGTCTTTCAATACCAGAGAATACTGGAAATGAAGTTCAATTTAAACCGGAGGATATACAACTTTTGAGCGAATTACATGTTTTCGATGATGATCTTAATTTGGTATCCCTTGCATCGAAAATGTCTCTCGAGGACGAAGACGAAGAATCGGAAGAAGAAACTTTAAAGGATTTGCATAATCGCGTTTTTTTCTATCTTTACACTAGGAATAATTATAAACATCCCGATGGAATTTCCATTAACAATCAGGAATCACTGAAGAAAAGTGACATCAATTTCGATAGACCAACTCGTATAATTACTCATGGATGGATAAATTCTCGTAATAGCAGGGCATGCACATTGGTTCGAGATGGTGAGTCATCTAAATTCACGAAATATTCAAATGCAATTATTTTTCTGACCAAAATCGTGCTGATCCTATTAGGATAATTTTCATTATTATTTAATATATTGATTTTATTTTTCAATTGTATATAATATTGTTCGTTTATATTGGCAGCATATTTAAATCATGACGATTACAACATTATTGTAATCGATTGGAGCAAGATCTCTGCTAGGGGATATGTCTGGGCTAGTAACCGTGTGAAGATGGTTGGTCAATATGTCGCCACTATGTTGGATTTTCTTGAAAAAGAAGGTTTGAATTTGTCAACGACTACTCTTATTGGTCACTCTCTTGGAGCTCACGTAGTTGGCTTGGCTGCTTATTATGCAAAGAACACTGTTAATAGTGTCATTGGTAAGTCAGATAGATTTCATTTATTCGCCTAATTTATACAATTACTTATACTAAAGTCGAACATTCCATCGAATTTTTATTAAAAATGTTCGTATAATTTATTTATTATATTTTATAAATTTCTATTTATAGGTTTGGACCCGGCACTACCAGGGTTCACTTCAGCTAATCCAGGCTCTCGTATCTCACAAAGTGATGCTGATTATGTCGAGATTATTCACACAAATGGAGGTTTACTTGGTTATTTGAGGCCCATTGGAGATGCTGATTTCTTTCCAAACGGGGGTATGAGACAAGCAGGCTGCATAATTGACGTAATTGGCGCATGTTCGCATTCACGTGCTTTTGAATTTTTTGCCGAATCAATCAACAGCAAAATAGGATTTCATGCGAAGGAATGTGATTCCTACTTTAACTACAAACTTGGAATTTGTAACACAAAACTATCGACGATCATGGGAGAACATAAGAAATTTTTGAAAACAAGAGGAAAGTTTTTCCTTGATACTCGTTCGTCTCCACCATACGCTATAGGTGAAATATTCAAACCGTAAAATTATCATCTTATTACACGATTGAAATTTTTTATCGACTCTTAAATAATAAGAACATTTAATTTATTGAGAAAAAGTAGAAAGAATGACACGAGGTTGTTCGAAAAAAATTCATTATTCTAGTTGGCAGAATATCTAATTCTACATTAAAAGTAATTAGGATAGATCGAAAATAAGAAAATAAGATTTACCAAAGAAAAAGAATAATCTAAAAAATGATTTATCGAAATATTTTATAATTTTTTGTTAAGAAAAAATCGTGTATGTTTAGGTCAAATTGTTTTTCAGTGATTAGTGCATATTTTTGCTTATTGTCGATGATTATAATCCATATCGTGTTGTCGTGTTACCACGTCATCTTGTTTATATGATTTATTTGCATTATTAATTATCTTCGGAGGATATATCAAACGAATGAGAGATTTATAACGTAACGTGAAGCTAACGATTGAAAAAAATGCAACTTCGATAAGAATTTTTTAATTTAATAGGTGTATTTCCTATGTGGTACGATAAAAATCTCTGTTTCTTAATAATTTATTTAGTAGAATACATCTCGATTAATATCAGTGAAAATTGGATACAAATATCGCACTGATATTCGTTTATTTTGTGTTTTATAAATTTGTGATAAATCAATGATAATGGAAAATTCTTTGTTTCGCGTTACGATTTAATGTGACACTAGTTAATAAGATTCGTATTTTGTATATATAGGAGCATCGTTGTACAAATAAAATTTATATTTTTTTTCAAAGAAATGTCACACTTTCGTTTGCACTTTACCCTTATTTCATTTTACATATTCATTAATACTCTAATTAATTTGACAATATTTTACATTCGCAGTTGCACATATATTAACAATCATATGATTTTCAAAATTAGAAAAATTCTGTTTTTCTAATATCTTATTATTTCTCTCAGAGCAAAAAAGTGGTGGAAAGTGGTGTGAGTGAAAGGATGGATACGGTTAAATATACACGTAAAATCGTGGCTCTCATCGGCATGACAAATATTTGGCGTTAATTGTGATTAACCTCTACTGCGGGAATAAATATTACGCCGGCCGGCATGGCTTCGGATTTATTCAATTGTTGCCACACCGTCATACTTTATCGTTTCAATGTAAATGCTGAGGATATTACCTACCGGCTCGCTATTACGTTTTTCATCGTGGTAAAGTAGTCACCCGCATATTAGATTAGTCCTGTAATCGTATTGATATTAAATCCAAAGATGGTACCGTATTGGCACGATGTTTTTCTTCAGATAGACAATATCTAATATAAAATGAAACAAATGAGATTTTAGGTCATTTTTGATATTGAATCTACGGACCTATTGATTTTATCCGAATTTAAAAAATATATATTTCCCGTTATGACGACCGATTTGGGCGTTTCGCACGAAACAATTAATGTTGCTTCAGGATTGGAAGCTGCCAATCACCAACAGCTGGTTTTTCAATTGATCGACTCGGAGATAATTGACGTGCCGATATCTCGACCATCGTGGAGGCTACCAACGCGATTATACTTCTCGATGAGTCGCGTTCATCTCGCGCAGACTCATCTAACGAATAATCGGTACTAATTTTCTTCAATTGCAATGAAAAATCATCATAATGAGCGGAGCGATCCACTATGGACGTGTTCTTCATTAGGAACCACAGTATTTTCAAAATGACCTTTTCAGCGACATTTCGACGAGCTTTGTCCACTTGGACGGGTGAGAGTGGGTCTCTGGTCAAAATTAAAGGTCGACATTGACGCGCATGGGAAAAAAGTTCTGCCTGTAAAGTTTCTGTTATCTATCAACGAGAGACGGCTCCATACATCAGCGAATACAGCCTCCGTTTCCTACGTATTCAAAGGAAAAACTATTGTCCGCTGGCAGATCTTCGTTTATACGTTGAAAAAATAGAATAAACTTTTTCTGTTCAACGGCCGACTCACGCGCCATTTATTTTTCTGAGAGAATCGATGCCCGAACGAGATCGCTCTTCTATTCTCTCTTTCTCTCTCTCTCTCTCTCTCTCTCTCTCTTTCACTTCCTACCTCTATTTTCTCTTTCTCCCTTTCGCGTGTGTTGCATCGGCCTTCTCGTTTCGTGCACGTTTAACCGTGACCAGTAGTACGGTATTGTTCGTAAATTAAAATTCCTCGTTGGGAGCTATTCAGATGTTTTTCGTTCGGCACCCTTCACGTGCGATCGCCTATTTTTTTTGTTCCTATTACTCTTGGAAATCGGTTACGATTGAGATTAGATCGGATTTTTGAGACAGAAGTATTCGCGAAATTATTTCTTATTGCGTTTCCATATATTTTTCAACTAATTAATATAATAAGTAAATTAAGGTACGCAAATAACATTCTTTGTAACATTGTTTAATTGAATAATTATTCATAAGAAATATTAAACGAGAAAATCGTTTATTTATGTGCTTCGTATTATGTATCAAATCTGAATAAAACTTGGCTCGAATAAAAAAAAAAAGTATCCACGAGTTTACTTTTTACTCGTAGATAGAAAAGTACTTAAAAACGTAATTAAACGACCGACGTTGAATATCTTTAGAAAGCGTGACTTTCTTTAAATAGGACACACGGTGTCTAGAGAAGCGAGAGATGAGAAACATGACGACGTAACTTACACGTTCGTTCTTGTCACTTTTCGTGGTAGGTATATTTAATAACCACTTCTTGTTTCCATTTCTCGGTCTTCTTTTTATTTTTATATGACTTCGCGGAAACTCGTTTGCCGGCCATTCGTGGTCGTGGGAAAACCGCAGGAAAAAGGGTCGAAAGAATATACGTCTCGGAAGACGTGGCTTGAGCATGACTAAACAGAAATGGTTAGTTATATGTACGAATTCACAACACACATACGTATATATAAGTACGTCTAATAGGAGGTAGCACACTTCCATTCATTCATCTAATCCGACAGAATCGAAATTCGCGCTTTTCTCGTGAAAAGCAAAAGTGTATCGTTGACCGTGGCTATTATCCCTCGCCACCCCGCGAGCAATCGTTCGTGAAATGCCGAAAATCGAATATAAATCGGTCATTATCTACGGTCACCGTTCATTTTCAGAATTTTCCGCATTATCGTGTCGGCATAGTACGTATGCCTGTGTGGGTTTACGTTGAAGGGTTAGAGTACACGATACCGGGGCCGTACGCACACAAAATAAAATGATTGCTAAATGAATCGCGCATCGTTGTTCTCGGTGTAATTATTAAGCGAACGTTTCAATTAACGCGACAATTAATCACCAAGGTCACGCGCAGGAAAACGATGAGCTCGATTTTCCCGTACGCTCGAGTTAACCCCCCCGAGAGTTATTATCAACCGTCTATGCTTCTACGAATTCTTTAATGTTTCTTAAAAGAACTATTATGTTGTATATACATTAACAATCAAATATTATTTCTTACAAATTAAATTTAATGTGAAGTCGTGAAATCATAAGACTCATAATGGATGCGAGAACGTGCTTCGAGAAGGCATAATTTTAGATCGTAAATACGTAACTTGAACCAGGACGGTCAGGCACTTAGGTTTAATTGGTCCTTACCGGCGGTCATCTTAATTGACCGTACTGACTATTATCGGATTCGGTTACCGTCTATTTATACGGTACCTTATGGCGTGTCGTCATGGCCGACTTCAAACGAAAGAAGTCACGTTCCTGTCCGCTCATCATCCTAACCTATTTATTAATTCTTACTATTATTATATCGACTCGTTCTACATTTTCTTGGAAGAGAAGATCAATCTAATAATCTCTTTCTTAATAAATTCTCTGTCATCGTGTTCATTTATGATTCCTCTTTGTTTTTTTCTCTTTACATTGCACATTTAATTACATTACGGTCATTGTTAATTATGTCAAATAAAATGAAATTCAAAAAGGAAAACAAAGTGAAAATAAATAGTAAACCGGTGGCCGTGTGACCCTGATAAATACATCCGTAGTTTCACGATCGACGGATAATTTCAAGGGTGTGCGATTTCAATCGTACCGATTACCAGCGCTTAATTTTATAAATGATACATAATAAACACGGGTAACGACCGCGGCGATATTGGTAGAGCAATAAAAATACTTAATTGAATGATTATTTTCAGGCGAGATACGATATCCGTGTTAGAATTGTTACGCAACAGGTAAAATTAATATTCCATTTATATTAATTTCTCTCGCATATTGAAAGAGAGAAAGAGGGAGGGAGAGAGTGTGAGAGAGAGAGAGAGAGAGAAAAAGCACAGTTGTCGAACGTGTGCGTAAAGTAATTAAATATTTATATTTATTTTTCCACGCGAGAGAAAATATAAAATAGAAAAGATGATGATTTGAGGTTTCCTTCTAGTTATATTTAGTTGAGAGAAACTCGAAAAGGACATTAACGCGTATCCCGTACTTCTACTAACCGTCAGATTTTCTAAAAAGCGTTCAAGGTAGCTGTTCAATACGAGAGAACGTGTGGTCTAAGGGGTAGACGGCTCGTTAATAAACCTTGAAGAAAGAACATTAATCATCGGCTATCTCGGAGTCCTGCTGCTCTCTGCACACAGTAAATAGCACATACAGGCAAAATATTTCGTGGACTATCGTGGACGTTTTCGTAGAGTTAGTGGTAAATAATTAAATGATTCATCCTCTTATGCGAACGAAGAAAGGATTTAAAGAAGTCGAAGATAGATAGGAGAAGGAGAAGACTGATAACGAACGAACGGAGGATGAAAGAGGGCAAATTGAAGGAACAGTGGAGGGAAAGGGAACGTCCCCGATTCAAATATTGACCGTTCATTTATTACGCCTGGGAAACTTTGATCGACGCTAATTAGCTTTCCTCCACGTTCTTTCTCGAATTCCGTTTCCGTATCGTAAATACGTAGCGAGTCGAACTCGTCGTGCCTCTTCATCGCTTATTTGATCTCTCGCGTTTTGCATCTGCGAATTTGAAAGAGAAAGAGAGAAGGAGAGAGAAAGATAGATAGAGAGAGAGAGAGAGAGAGAGAGAGAGAGAGAGAAAATTGACAGAGACACGAAAGGAACGAGTATTTCGAACTAATCTTTACTCTTGCTGAAATATTAATAATATTGTCGAATATGATTTAACGATAAATTAATATCATTTAAAATAAAAGATTATACAAACTAGAATAGAACGAAACCAATATGGCTGACTACGAACCTGTAATCGCAGGAGCTTTTACACGAAGAGCTTGATGTGTGTGGGTGGTATCTGTTACGAACAAAAAAGATAGAGCGAAGGAGAGGGGAGGTGAAAGAAGAGAGACACACGTATAAACGTACTCACATAGAAACGTCACGAGTGAAAGCACGCAAAGTTAGATGAATACCAGCACGGCAAATTGAAGAGTTTACACGATTGGAGTATCACCTCGAAGGAAGGTGGAAGGAAAGTTAAAATGTCAAGGATAAGAAGAGAAAAACGGGCCGTGGACGGCCGTAGGAGTTTGATACACGTCCGACTGGCTGGTGATGCAACATAAATTAAACTGCATAGCTCGTCTGCACACCCCAATCAGTCCCGTGTCCCATGGTCATGGTGCTGTGGTATCATCGGACGTATGTATCCGGCTGGTGCGTGTGTGTGGGTGGGAAAGAGCGGCAGGGCGCCGGCACGCGGCTCGTGTTTCCTGCCTCTGCAAAAATTGGCATTGCGAGAGGGCTAACTCTGTACACAGAGTGAGACCGAGAGAGATAGATTGTATCA